TTGTTCAAAGGAACAAGGTTAACGGCAACAGGAAGTATTCGGACATGGATGGTCAACAGGTATCTAATGGCGCTTTCCCACTGCAGGACATAGCACGGCTTAGTACGGTATGGTTAGGCCTTGGTAGGCCAGGCTCAGTTTATGCTGCGTTTCCATTACAGTTTAGTTAAAGGGGTAGTAACTACAGTAACGCAGTGTAGGCGGGGCAAGCGACGCTGCGTAAAACTGCCGTGACGTCATCTTCAATGCGAAGTTTGCGAACCACAAAACCAAAACATCAGCCATTAGCTGTTAGCACTCAGAGCTCACCTCACATCTGTTCAGAAACTAGACAAAGTACAAACCACAGACTGTCTGTGTCATGGCGAATACAGTCACTGGTTTATTTATGTCTGTAGGCCGTTGTTGTGAGTGTGGACGGTCAGAGCATATACTGCGTTAGCTTAGCCGATCTCCATTCAGAAAACACGCATTTTAAAGGTTTTTTGCCTGCCGTCTTGTCTGCAGACCGGTATCAGTATGTTGTTACTTCGGCATCATTTTGAAACGTGTATTACAATTAAATCCCGGTAAAATATTTTCATTTTGTTGTAGTTGTAGCCCCCTTGCCAGCGATTCTCTCTGACCATTCAGCAGTCGAGAGTGTTGTTTACGTCACTAGTTTAGCATATTCAGCCCGGTTGTTGGCCCGGTAAGAACCTTGATTTTGGAGGGCCAGAAAAAAGGTGAAAAAGTAGCCCTGAGACGGAACTACCCCTAGTGGAAAAGCAAGATAAAGTATCCTTTCTCAGGCAGTCAGGTAATTTAGTGAAGTGATTCAAATCAGCACCTGTCAACGGGTGTTTTGAAGTGATGACACTTAGTGACAAACAAACAAGCAAACACAAAGAGTGTGTTTGAGGAATGAGTCAAAGATCGTTTTTAATAACAACATTTTGTTTCTAAAAGTATCACACTCGAGAGCAGAATTTTTATTTTTTTATTCAGTACATGCTTTATCGTCAAAACCTGGTGCCTTCGTTACCCACAAGGCAACTTGACGACCAACGCATTAAGCTATTTGCGTTATTAAGTCTCAAGCGAGGATAAGGAGCCAACCCAAATAAAAAGGAGAGATGAGGAGCTGGCCACAGAGGACTGGTTATCTCACCTTTTTCTAACTGCATACTCTCACATTTATTTAATTTTCACATTTGTAGTTGACAGACCAAACCAGCACTGACTCAAGTGTTTCAGATTTCCCTCTGGAACATCAAAGGGCTTTCTATTTTTTCTTTTACTTGGCACTAATACTGCCCAAGACGGTGGGATATCATGTATGTTAAGACTGTGAAAAAGATTGTGTTCATCAAAAAATTCTAATATATTCATTCAAAAAGTATGAATTGTTAGGACACATAATAATTACAACAAAAACATGTGTGCTTTCTTGGGAACATAATCTTAATGTTCTTGTTAATGACTTTATGATGCTCATATTTAATTTGTAGCTTGCTACTCTGATGTAACAATTAAATGATATAGTTATCTTGAGATGTCCAACACTGTTTTCCCTGATTATGAAACTCCTCACTGAGCGGAGATAACAAATCGTGGTCTCACTAAGATATTCACTGGATGGTCCAACTGTTGGTGAGATCATGTCTGAAGAAGAGACCCGCCTCATGAACAGATTAGATAAAGCTTTGCAGAGGCAGACAGACACTTTCATACTTAAAGACCTTTCATGTCCTCATTGGGGAAACAAGAATTATTAGTCTTGAGATAATGAGATTTGTAAACTCATCATCATGTGTAATACTGAACAATAAAATTAAATATTGTCATCATGATAACCGGGTAAAATAATAAATATAGCTCAAACTGTATTAAGTTGTGTAGCAGATGATCTACCAGGAGCACCATTTCCATGATATCATCATTAATCTTTGTTTCAACAACTTTATAATGTTCACTCTCACATTCGTTCTCAGGTGCACCGCTCATATTCGTGTTGCCGTGGATCACAGTGAAATATCTGTATGAAAACGAAGAGTAAGTCACTTTTCGTTCAGTAATAACATTCAATACTACTATTGTTACATAATATGTAAGGCAGTTTGAATGTAACAGCTTTTATCTGTGAATTCCTACCACACTGTATGAATATCTTGTGACAAAATCTCAAAAAAAAACAGCAATCATTTACAATGTATAATGTGTGTGTGCGTAGGTGCTGGGAGAGAAATATTGACATGGGATATTGGTGGATTATCCGTTCCCCTATACTATTTGCTTATCTGGTAAGTCTGTCTGTTTGTTCCTTGCCCAATGATTTTCTGCCTGTCACTATACATTTGAACAAATTAACAAAGTAAATTCAGGTACAGAGTGTGCTGGCATGTGATGGAGCTACAGATGCACGCAAAAACACACAAACCCAAACGGACACAGACAGCAGCTGACATTCACAAAGTGTGTCGTGGCAGATGTTGCTGTGAATAAAGACACTGTCAAATGCCGGGCTGCACAGCCATAATAACAAAGAATAACAAAGAGCTGAATCATCAACCAAAAGTCAAATATTTGTCCCAAGGAAGAGAGCAAAGGTGTGAGCAAAGGTGTGAACCGTTTCCTCATGACCCCGCCACAGGCAGAAAAGGCAGAGAGAGTATTCACTATTTAACTTTTTCACAGCAGACAATTTGACCTGTCCTAGTAGAAAGAGCACACATGCAAATGCTAATATGGCCCAGTTCCATTAAGTCTCCAAGTTAGCATTTTAATGAGCGACAAGAGCAGGACCTCCCCTCAGTTAGATGAATCCATAATTAATGTGATTAAATACCTCTGTGATTTCCCTACTATGACATGTCAAAATGTCTCCCTTAAAAACATGCTTTCTGTGCTTCTATGAACGTATGCATGTTAGAAAGTTTATAGAAGTTGGGTTGCGAGTGTAAAACTCTTAGAATGACACCTAATTTTGCAGTTTCCCCGCATCCCCTCTTGCACTTCAGTGCCACTATGATCCCTCCTCGCTGAGTACTTTAGATAATATCGACAGAATGCCTCTCTGTGAAGTCGGGTGTGGCGTCCAACAATGATTTTATGGAGTAGAAAATAATGAAATCAGCCACTTTTACACTTTTACACAATATTAAAATTATAATTGGCACAAAAAAGAAAGGATTCCTCTTTTGTTAAACATGTTTTGATTACAGATGTTTGTGTGTATTATCTTCTATCTTATTTACCAGGTAAAGAGGATATTACACTTCTAAAAATGTATTCTGGAAAACAGAAGTATTATGTGAAGCATTTAAGTTCGATTAAAGTTTTTTTATATTGTAAACCATCTCACGGCCTAGTGTGTGAGTCTGTTTATAGATTAAACTGGCAACACCTTCATAATAGTGAGAATCCAAATTGATTTCAGACCTCTCAATAAAATTAACAAAAATGTCCAACCTAAATTGTTTTGAATATTAGTAAATATAGCTGTAGACTATTGTTTACGTAATTTGTATTTGGTGTTCTTACACATTGATTTACAAACACACACACACACACACACACACACACACACACACACACACACACACACACACACGCACACACACACACACACACACACACACACACACACACACACACACACACACACACACACACACACACACACACACACACACACACANATGTGATGACGAAAAGTGAACAAAAGAAAATCGCTCTCGTAGTGAGGAACTGTCTCATGCCTAGGTCAGATCTATGCTCTCCTGATACCATGATGTTTTTGTTCCTCACTACGAGAGCGATTTTCTTTTGTTCACTTTTCGTCATCACATCAAGATATTAGAAAGTGTTATTTTTGTTCATCTATTTGCAAATAAAGTATCTTACAAATACTTTACCTCTGTCTCCTGGGTCGTGCAATTGGGTCCTACTGTATACCTGAGTTCGTAACATTGTGCTTTTTATGGTACTACGGCTTCCACAGATTACATTTTTTTATGTATTTATTGTCAAAGCATTTCATATATTCATTGCTATCGGGATGTTAAGAGCATTCCATGGAATAAAACAAAAAGTGTTTCTGAAATAAACACTAATATTGTCCTTACACACCCCACCTTTAATCACATGGTTGATCCACGATAGGATACAAGAACTAAACCTCTTATGGCCGTAATTATTATAATGGGAGAGATAGAGTGTAAAGAGCCTGTGGCCTCCAAGAAGACCTGAGGGCGGCAGAGAATCATACTTTAAAGAAAAAACTCAAGAACCACCTTTTTGATTTGATTTAACAACATTTTATTTGAGTCTTATATTATTCCTTTTTATTCTTATATTTATTTGTATTTTATTTGTATTTTTTATTTTATATTATGAACTGTTTTTTTAATCACAAAGCTATGTGTTACTTTGGTTATACCTTGGAAGGAGGGTGATAGTATTGTTTTATTTTTTGTAAATTGTGTTTGGTTTGTGAAGCACTTTGAGTTACCTTTGTGTATAAAAAGTGCTGTATAAATAATGTTTGATGATTGACGATTGAGGAATCAAATTACCGATAACACCCAACAGGTGAGCAGTTTTTCTTACCCCAGCCAATGGCCAGATAAATGTAGAAGTACTTCCTCTCGCTGAACACGGTGATGACGAGCAGGCTGTGCAGGTAGATGCCCTCCACCAGCAGCCAATAGTTGTTGGCCATCACGCTGTACTGCATCATCACCATGGCACCTCGACACCACGTAACAGCCTGAAAACGACACAGGATGGGGGTGGTGCGAAAAAAACAGTAAGCCAAGGAGAGACTTTCTGTTATTGTACACAAGATGGAAATTGTGCAGCGAAAATACAATGCTCAGAGTCCTTGTCCCTGTCCTTCACTTCACATGTTTGATTCTAGCACACAATCTTTCCTCACACTCCTCCACAGCAGAAGATGTTAAAACACAAATCGTTTGCTCCTATTTTCAGAAATAATAAAATACCTTCTGCACATTAAAGGGGCTTATTCTCATTCATTTATTAAAATCTGTGTAAATGAGCACTTCTGCTAAAAATAATCCTTCCACCTGGCAGTTGAGGCATTATGCAGATGCGGATTAAACAGCATCAGGTGTGCCTAAGGCTGGTCATTTGTATCACCACTCGAGAATGTGCAATTGTATGTTGAAAAACAAATGCATTACTGACTCTAAACTGTGAAGTGGATGGATTATCTTGGAGCAAACTGCTCACTAACAGAAATGTTAACAAATATGTGCACATCATTTGAGAGGCATTAACTTGTTGAGTGCATTTAAAGTTCTCGTGAAAAATGAGAGTGAAAACAAATATGCGTTTTTTATGTGTGAGCTCAGTGTGCAATATCAAACCAAATAGATTTCCAATGTCGCTTAGACTTCGGCACTTTTGCAGGAAATCACATTTGTTGAAGTGGCCATTTTGTCATTGTTAATGTGAATTTACGCAAGGCCGTTTGTACCATTTTAAATAAGATAAATTGCATATTCCTCCGATGCAGATGTAGAGAAGCTTAACAAGAAAGGAGTTATAGGAACTTGAGGGATCGGCATGTGTTGGATTTTCTGGGTTTTGTTTTTCTCTCTGATATTAAACATTCACAAGTTGAGATGTATTCTCTATGAGCTGATGATGATGTATGACATTTCAAATACTAATATTGTCCTTCAGACTTTTCCTAGGGGATTTAACTTCCATTCATGAATCACTTGTAGGGGGACTCAACATTTATTGCTTTGTATAATAGCTCATTTTTTCAGAACCATATTAAGTTATGTATCTAGCAACAATTGTAAAAGTCTGTTGAATGTATTCAATGTCCAAAAAGAGGTTGTAAATGCACATATTCAAGAAAAATGTAGTAGCCTAGACTTTGTATGTGCCACAACCCTCTGTCTGATTACATATTCTCACTATACACTGTAGTGAATTTATAATATGTCCCATTAACAGAACAGGAGGTATTGTGATGTTACTGCAGTGAGAAATGTCCTTATAGAAAGGTATTTCTCTCGTGCTAAATAGCTGCACATCAACACATGAATAGCCGGTGAGGATGGCATGATGTTTTGGCTCTGACCGGTATGTTGACCCAGGCTTGTGTCCGGGTGTCCCCCCCGCTCCTGGGGTCCAGAGTGAGGGTCAGCAGGGCGTCTTTGACCAGGATGGACACGGCTCTCAGGATGAACGATGCGAACAGGTTCATGTGGATGTTGTTCCTCATGCAGCGCAGCTTCCTGGTGCAGAGTTGACAGTGTGTGAAATATTTTGACTTTGATGTGTTGTATCATATCATATCATATCACTGTAGTAATGCATGCAGGAACATGACTCTAAAACATTCTTCCAACATTGTATTTCTTACTTTTTTTCTTTACATGTGTTCCTTCTTTATTCCATCAGCACTTACATTCGCCGTCACTATATTGTTTTACACAATGTACCATACCCATCCTGTTCATATTCATACTGTTATATGTTTCTTTTCTTAATGCATATTTATATATTTATACACCTATATGAATATAATAGGCTATAAACATCTTATTTAGTTCTATCATGCAGCACATCGTGTCCTATTTTCTGGAACAGGTTTTTTTTTAAATGTATATCAGGTTATATTTTAAATGTGCAACTGCATGTAATTTATATAT